ATTTGCACTACTTCATGGTAAAATTATGGACTAATGCAAATCTCATTCGGTACATCTCATCTGAAGGGCACGGTAGTGAACGCATCGAAACCGCTATGTAATCTGCTGCACAGTGTGTCGCGTGTGACCTGCGTGAATAAATGCTGATCTCCTGTGCTACAGTAGACGATACGCATCTTGTGGTCGACTATACAGGGTGTGCCATGAATATGGTAACCACTTTGCGGAATTCCGCAGTTTCCTAGTTTGGAAGGCTTTTCCCAAATCTGCACCTTCTTTCATGTTTATCATATACCTTAGCCTTGGTGCTGTATATCTTTCTTCGATGCTCTCAACTCGTCTTAGTGCTTTCAATTCATTCCGGAATACGGCGGAGCCTTGCAATCATCCAGCAGCTGCTTCGCCTTTTGCGTGCACTTGGTGAGTCATCTTACGAGATTGCCGATTATTTCGACAATTCTTGCATTACAGTCTCTTGTACCAGTCGGGCCACCCGGCTAACGCCAGTCTGACCTCCTTCCTATGACAGAGGTGTAATAATTTGCAAATCGCCTTTCCTCATTCAGAACGAATGATACTTGCGGAACACGAAATTTGACAGAAGACTAACGGGGCATGCAAGTGGTATTCAGTGCACCGATGCTCACGACTATGATTAGAAGTCTCGATCTGTAGTTGATCTTCTTTAAAATAAAGACTCACTAAAAGTTCAACTGATAAGCAACGCAGACCTTAAATGGCACTCACAAATGTTGTCGAACCATAATAACACCATTGTCAAATATCATCAATATTATCATTTATTTTCAATGAAGATTCCTCTTTCTAAGGCTTTATATTAGATTGAGAACCCGAGATTATAAGCAAGAACTGATTTGCCAAGAAGGTATCGAAGCAAAGGAAAGCCGTGATAATCCATTGAGTCACAAACATTGCCAAGTAGCGGTAGTAACTGACTAGCAATAAATAAACCAATTTTCATCTCCTCAGAGTTTGGTACACCTATCCGGTCACTGTCGCCGCTCTTGCTGTTCTTGTTGAAAGAAACATATCAGAGAGTCAAAGCTAGATCGAAAATAACAAAGGCGCAGGAATTTGATTGGTGAGTGGATCTTCCTCTCCAAGGTCTCTTTTAATGGCAGTGTTCCCATCCCGCTGTCCGTGGTTCCATCCTGCCTCCTCTGCTCCTACCAATTTGATCTCTCCAAGTTCACAAAACAGGAGTTATGGATTTCCACTCAAACATTTATTCCGAGCGAACCCCGCCCCTCGTGGGCGGAGGCCGCCCTGCCACTCACAATAATTGTTCCCATCCTGCCACGTGTACTCGTATCTTGCTCCTACCATATTTGAACGCCCTAGGGCCAACTTGACTATTTTCGCGCAAACCACACCTCCTGTGGGCCGCGCCTGGTCCCGTCACCTGCCGTAAGTGGTTACTTCCTGCCAGCAGTATTCCTATCGAATTTGGACCCCTCTTCCCACAGGAACAGAGGGTATGATTTTCCACACAAACCCCGCCCACAGGCCCATTGTGAGCGGAGTCTGGCCCTGCCACCTCCCATAGGTGTTCCTATCCTGCCCCTTGTACTGATACCACGTTCGAAGAAGATAGAAAATTCAGTAGCAAAACCCCATAGGGTCAAATTGACAATTTTCGCGCGAGACCTGCCCCCTGTAGGCGGAGTCCGGTCTCGCCACCTGCCGTAAGCGTTCCTACCCTGCTGCCGGTAATCCACCAAGTTTGAGCGCTCTAGGCCCAACAGGGCTTCCGGTTGTACACACACACCACACACACACTTACACGCACACACTCACCACACACGTACCTACACATAAACACAGACACTAGCGCGTTATATATAGTAGGATCATGGCGGGTATGTATGCATGGGTAGATCAACAACCAGCTTAAAAACGGTATTCTTGTCTCTATTACGACTTCTTATCCGAACACAATTGATTGGGGATGATTACGCTTCAAAACCTGCAGAAACACGAGAAAAATGACTGACCAATTGAATATAGTCACCCCGAGCAAATAGTTCCCGAATAAATAGTGAATGGTATCCATTTAAGTTTCGAAGACCATATAAGCTTTTGAACGAGAAGAACTTCGAGCGGAAGAATAAATGCTGTGTCCTACTTACACGCGCCACGTGCTTCGGCTTAATTTTTTTCTAAGGAAAAGATGAGCAGCGTAGGAGGAATGTTCAGTTCCCATAGTACACGTATATTTCTCACTACAAGGAAGTTGAGAAGGGTCAGATCGTAACTCGTAGCCTTTTTCCTCTTTTATAATGATTTGGGCTGGAATGTTTCACCGAGCAAATAGTAAAAATTGATCATAACATCTTTATGAAGCACATTCACGAGAAGGTGCTCTATGGTGTCAAAGATTAATGCAGGGGTACGATTTGGAAACACTCATGTGCTTGCTCACGAATGAAAAAATTCCAAGACTGGTGCTAAGAAGATATCTACAATTTCATCCTTGCTTCCGACTGGATTGAGAAATTTCCTCCCGCAATTCAATGGGTCCGCGGGTATATTGCTTACTGGAGCCTGCGCTTCAAAACACACCGTTGTTTCTGCTTCTACGGAATCGCTAAAAAAAGCTGAAAAGGACTGGAGTTTGTCATGAAACTCCGCATGCCGTCGCGTCGTCTATGAGTAGCCGAAGCATCTTCTAGCTACAATCAGTACATAAGACGGTTATATCAGATGACTGTGCGTTCATTTGGTTGATGCGATGTAAAGTAAATAGTTCACATAAATTCACGTATCAATGTGAAATGCGGTTTGTGTGCAACATTTAGTTTGTTACCACATTTATGGCGCACCTTGTATAAGCTCGTCAGTTCATAGAGTATTCCATTGATTTCACTACAGTTTGTGTGTGTCCTTTAAAGCTTACCAGTTGCTCACGCACGCATGCTAACGCGTGCACCTTATATCACTATCGCTTACCTACAATTTATTAGAGCACCAACAATAGTGTCGGTTGACTTCCCATTTCATAACTGTTTCCTCAACGCGCTCACGTGATATTCACATCCACATCGTGCCTACGTGACTTTCGGAAGGACAGACAGACAGAAAAACAGACAAACGGACGTTTGCCGTTTATATATAGTAAGGATAGCACTTTCTGAGTTAGCATCGCATCGCTGACTTAACTAGCCATTTGGCCCAGATATGTGATAAACAATTTGTTGACTGATAACTTGAACACTTCGATAACCTTCCGGGAAAGAGGGAAATTACGATAATTGCCACGAGAAGCTGTACACAAATCAGCTCAAATTCAATTCCATCAGATCTTCTATTATGACGGACGCAACAGCTGTGATGGGAATTGAACAGCAGGGGTGGCGCAGTGGCGTTTATTTGAAATCGTCAATCATTTGCTCTGTCTCAGCTTGATCCACTCATTTCGACTGCTTCTTCCTTCTTCCTCCGTCTCAGCCAGAGTTTATGGAAAAATACAACGTTTAATTTTTTTGAACTATTCACCGATTGAATTCCGAATATCATTATAAGAAAAATCTCAGTTGGGTTAAAATGAATATGAGAGCTTGGTCTTTCTAGCTTTTTGGAAGGTCGGATTCACTACAAGAAAGCAATGATGCACGCCCGTAGAATGCTTTTGGACGTTTAGGCGTTTGGGAACACCATTTCAAATCATGTCCATGTAATAGGAGCTGTTAGAATGGACGTTCACATCGTCGCTCAGTGTAATTACAGCTCTCGAGAGATTTGGCTATTATATTATCTATCACGGTCACTCCCTTTCTTCATCCCACAGCAGAGCAGGTTATGAGTCAGCTGTTGTTTTCTGTTGATACTACACTTATATTATTCATAGTACCCAATACCGTGGTTTTAGTATGGCACAGGTGCCTTGAGACTTTCATTGTTAATGCATCACCGACACACCGACCTACTACTAGTCCTGGAGTTTGATAGTAAGCGCTGAGGATGCTGACTTAATTTCAAAAAAAAACGCGCCTCTCTGCATACTCCTTTCCTGTCACCTGTGCAGTTTAGCCCTCAGACTGATATTTAGGGCGACGCAGTTTTAACCTGTAACGGCACATGGACCGTGAGACTCCTTGAAGCGTCAAAAATCACTAGCAGACTTGCTAGTCACATAGGGACCTTCCAGACCGCTGTTTCACTTTTTGATCCACAACTACAGGCGCACTTGATGCCAATCAGCTGTTTCACCTCATTGTTGATCACTTGTTCAGTCCTCATTTCTCATTTTCTCATCATTGTAGATTGCTTTTCGACAATTTTTACTGAGGGCTGCCCCAAGGACTTTGACCTGGTTTTGGCTATAGAATTTCAATAAAATTCTTCAACAACTACTTATCGAATTCAGTGTTGATTAATTCATTCGAATGGAATGAGCCTCGTACGAATAGTGAAAGAAGTACAACTGTGAATAACCAGAAAGATAGTCACTTCCATATGTTATTAGGAAGATCAGTCTTTGACTTCACTTCGTTTCTGCTTTCCAACTTTTCAAATAGAAGCTTTGTTGTTGGTAGAGCGTTTGCAGCTAAACGGTTGTCAGATCTTGCGAAGTCATAAGTCCTCGAAAAACTCTCGAGCGCTTACCTAACAGCATGGAATCTTTTAAAGCAGGCTCTAAATGTTGGAAATGGACATACTTTTCCATTTCCAATTTCATCGTTCCTCAAGTTTCTTCCCTCAGCTGCCTCCTCTCAAAACTAGGGACTGCTACAAATTCTATTATTGGGTACGTATTGCCGAGAGTCCTCATTTTCTACGATCAATTTTCGATAGTTCCCGCTTTTCTCACGAGTGAATTTTGAGTTTCGATTTTTGGTTACTAGTTTTCTCATTTGTGTACTGCTTGCACAGATTAACACCGCAACGATATCGATATACAAGACTTAACGGCAACTGCAGTTTCTGCGTGATATTGGTGCGTATCGATCAACACGGTAACGTCTCTGAATGGACTGACAATGTCTAGCGATTCACGTCAACGACAGCAACAACGTAGCTATGACTCATTCGTGTATTCAAAATCCCAAGCACCTCTGTCAGAGTTCGGTTACGTTTTGGGTGAGGATGTAGCGGTGAAGGATAAATTCAAGGACTTCGCTGACAAGACCACAGCTCACGGGGCCAAACGTATACTGATCGCTCACAATGGCTTCAGCAGAATGTTCTGGATGAGTCTTATTGCATTCTTCCTCACTTTATTCGTCTATCAAGCAGGTACATTAGTCGTCAAATATAAAAAACACGACAAAATCACGAGTATCTCAGTGAGTAAAGTGCTTACCTCTTGTGTTCAATGAAGATTGCCCACAGAAAAAGCTTCCTCTTCCAGCTGAAATTCGATCAGGTCGACTTTCCAGCAATCACATTCTGTAATCTCAATCCATATAAGAAGAGCCTTGTGGGGATGGTACCATCCATACGTGATACGGTAAGTACGGAACCATATCCTCCTGTTCCATATTCTCGCCTCTTTGGTTCAGAAGCAGAAGTGAACTAGTTCTATAGAGCTCAGCTCTCACCTTGAATTATGACTTTCCAAATTTATAAAAAGGCGTTTTTTGAATGTAGGGCACCAGTGGCTTTCGAAGTTTCGAGCAGTTTCAAGAGGTGTTTCGAACGAACCGAAAAAGCTGCTTTCCTATTCTTGACAAGGTGACAACTAGTAAAGCAAACGCTAGAATCGTCAGTGACTTTGGGCCGATGTCGTTTTTTCATTCGACAACTTATAATTTATGGGTTTATACACTCGCAAGTCCATCAACAAAGAACTGTTAAGCAGTCGATTATCTTAGATTGACGGAAAAATCTTTCTAGATTTCCGTTTTCGTGCTGTGAAATCTTTGGGGATTGCTTTAAAGGTACAGTTCACGATAATTCAATGGGCGGGAACGTCAATGGCCTTCCCGCCTCTTTACCGTTGTCACGTCAGACGGTCAGACGAGTGTCGAGACAATACAGATTGCAACTATTCGTTCTAGGACCCATACACAATCAGCTGATACCCGAGTGATCAGGCGACCTTTTTCTCCCATTCTTTTTTCCTCTGTTATTCTTTTTGCTGCCATGATCCCTTATTTAGTTTCCTATTCCTTGAGGCTGAAAAGGGTGAGCAAATTTTGCTGTTACTAGTGTTTTTTTTTCTTCACTTATGCTTATAAGTGAATGAATTTTTGCTTACCATAGTCTGTTATTCGCACCAGGACCCACACGTGCGCAGTGAGACACGATGTATAGCTCGAACGAACGCCCCACTCTTCTTCATTTTTCTGGTCTCATTCTCTTCTTCATCCTTTTCTGGTCCAGCCCCCCGTTTAACGGTTTTTCGAAGCCTTTTTTCCCCTTGTGAACACCGATTCACGCGGTTTCTCCACCTTCATCGCACTATTTTCGATCTTGTCGTCCATTTTTCATCATAATCTGGATTGCCCAAGATTATCGTGAACTGTGTCTTTAAAGCGTTTAGTGCGGAACACGTGTAAGAGCAATTCGGCGCGCTCTTCGCACAATATCTGCCGTGACATTTCGCAACGGTTATGGCTGGAAGAATCTCTCTACTCGAAGCTGGTCAAACTGCCTCTGCATTATGAGTTCAGATAGAACTTCAATCCGAATTGAGCGACAGGGGAACTATGTCATGCGATGAGACCATCCATCTCATTCCCATCCAGCACAACAAGAAAGTGGTAGCACAAGCTCGAAAATGGCCACTTCGATTAAACCGAAAAAACACTATATGGGAGACCAGATGGATTGATTACCATCCATCTTCTAAAACTGGTTGAAGAGGATTCTTGGTCCAGCACTCTCCGGCTTAATTAGAAGCTCAATAACCATTACGACACAGCAGCTGTCCAGTTGCATCGCCTCGAAAAGACATGTAGATATTGATAAGTTGTGAGCTGTGTGGTCACCACCTTCAAATAAAGAGAGATTCATGCCTGAACGTGTTGACTTTCCGACGCACTTTGCATGACTAGACTTGATCACCTTCGACGAGAAGTGTGATGTCTACGTAAGTCACACGAGGGATCGCCAGTGGCTAGGATGCGTAGAACGTGGAATTCCGACATGAAAACCAGAAGTCCTACCTCAGAAGGCAATGGTAAGCGTTTTCCTTTCACTGGGACTTACTGCCACCGAACTCTACTGTCGGCATCGCATCTGTTCTGTGTGTTCTGATGGATCGCGTTGCTGCAGCTCTACGAGAAAAACAGCGGAGCGCTTACTTTCTCGAACAGTGCTTGCTCCCACATTGCGAATAAAACCTAGAAGAAACCTCAAAGCTTAGACTTGCATGTTCTGAACCAGCCACCGTATTCACCAAACCTGGCGTCAACGAATTGTCACCTGTTCGTGTCGTTATCAAATCATCTTCAAAATTAGAAGATCGACGATCTTAACCAATTCGAGACGTACATTGGCGAGTTTTTCTCCTCGAAACCTCAGAAATCCCATGCAAGCAGGATTTACGAGTTGTCTGACGAAAGGCCATACCTTGTTGATAATGACGGTGCATGTATTTGTTATTCAGTAGTTGTTGTGAAGGAAAACAAAGAATTTGTAAAAAAAATTGCAAAATGTGAGAGGACTTTTTTGACAACCTGATGTAATACCACGCCAGACGGCAGCCACAACTACCTGTGATACTATGACAAACTCCTCTTTTTTTGTTGTTTACGATCTTTGGCTTTCGGCATTGAGCCCATTTATACAGATGAAGAGCGTTTACTGCACATAGGCAGTAAATGCTGTTCATCGTAAGAGTAACCCTAGAAAATTCCGTTCATCCTCAAACGCTTCTTACCGGATCTCATCTCTCGAAGCGGTTTGCCACGGTTGTAGGTGTATTTCACGATAATATTTAGGTAATTTTCTCAGGTCAAAGAGCGGAATTATTAGTGCAGTATAGAGCACCGGTGGCGAGGAAGACAAAAAATATGCAGAATTCACAAAACATAAGGGTTTCTCGAAGTAGGGAAAATAGGAGATTGTTGCAATAATATTATAGCAAGATTGTCTTATAATGGATGTGCCAACAAGATTTTAGCCGTGTGCAACTGCACAAAGAGCTCCTTACAGCAGGAAAAAATGCCATGAATAACACTTCACTATCATCGTGTGTCAGGGCTGGGTGCATTCGGAATTTCGGAATTTCGTTTCTGCCTCCTTTATTTCGCTATTTTTTCGGTGATAGACATCGATTTTGAACGCATTATCTGGGTCGTTTATCGAGAGAAAACGACGTGGATACTTAGTAGTTCTTTCACAGGAACTCCTAGGACACATTAACGGCTAAGAAATCGGACTTGCTTCTATCTTAATCCCGGTGGAACAGAATTGCGACTTACAAGTTTCCTCTTGGAACCTTTTTCTGCTTCCAGCTTCCTAGCTCTTTCATATTAAGGTGTCCGGAAAGTTTTCAGAGAGAAATCCATTGGTTTTTTCAACACAAAATAATTGCAGCAATAAGCTTTGATGAGTGGTGAAGAAAGTGGCTCTTTCTAACCACAATGTCTCTCCATTAAGCGGGCTGGATTTTGATGCCATTCCTACAGTATGAAGAGTGGTCTGACGCTAATCGTTCATCTACCGCCAATTTGACTTCGCAACGACTGGCGATTTTTTCCCTTCAAAGCAGGCCTGTGGGCTTCTGCAAGTATGGCATTCATGTGGGGAGTGGGGTAGTCAGGTTATACCGAGACTTTCCAGCTTATCCATAACGTTCTCGCGTGGGGTGGTCGAGCATTATCCGATGCAATCGAAAATTCCCTTGTTATCGATGTGAAATGGGGCTCGATACACCACCTCTTTCAATCGGTAACAGGATACTCTTGCGTTGACTTCAGTGCACTCTGGTAAGATCACATAGTAAAACACCGGAGAGCAGAGGAATAACGAGATCATGTCTTTCTTGGCATAAGCGCCTCGCTTTATAACGGGCTGTGACATTACGTAAACTCGTAAGCATTGCTATTTACTAAGTGAAGTTTCATATGGCATCTACTTTTCATCCTGAGCAATGATGGAAATGGTTGATGTCGTCGTTCGCTTGCAGTCGAGGAGCTGCTGACAAACACTAACTCCCACTCGACAATCCTGCTCAGTCAAGGATGTGCGATATTCGCAAAGAGCCCTGCTTTAAAAGTGACTTTTGCGTACGATGTCGTGGATGATGGACTGGGGAGTGAATATCGCTTTTCCAAATCCTGCCATTTTGAACAGGATTGCTCTGACGGGGGCCAGAACAATGTCCATATTTGAGGACGCTGGACGTTCGCTTCGACGGACGTCGTCGAGCAAATCTCTTCTCAGAGAAGGCATTTTCAGTAGGAGGCACGCTGCTAATTAGTCATTCATTCGTGAGTACCGAAGCGATCATTTCTGCAATGGAGGAGCAAAGGCTCCGGTGGTCGCCTAGTCGCCGCAATGGCAGTCGTCCTCGGTCTACGACTACTTACTTCGAATGACCACCCCAATTACCGATCAGTTACAGTATTGACCTGTCAATAGTGCCCTTTTTCCTGCCACCAGATCTATAGTCCTCCTTCAGAGCGTTCGAGAGCAACTTTCAACTGCGTATCAACTTCCAAAGTTGATACGCAAGATTTTCTCAAAACCTTCCGGACACCCTAGTAATTTCATTTCAGAGAATGACTCCCTTTCTCTCTACACTTCTAGAAAAACCCAGCAAACTAGTCCAAGTTGATTTTTTGGAATTGTTGCCGCCTTTGCCGGATCGAAAGTAATTTTAATGACTCAGATGGACGTCTACGATAATGCGAAATCGCACACCAAAGCAGGTCAACCAAGAAAACAGAAGATGCGGCGGAGAGAACATTCAGACGAAGCAGCCAAGCGGGTCAGACAGTGCGAACTACAGATTAGCCTTAGTCTGCTGTTACTTTACAGATATTACAAAGTTCGGCAAAACATTTAGGTGATTATTCTCTTCGCAAAAGAAATCGCACAAGGGCAAGAAGAACTGCAAAAGCAGCAAATGGCCAGAGAAGGAATAAAACGCCGGGTGGAAAGAGATGTGAGTCCGATATTTATTACCACTACGTACTGAACCCTGGTAGTCTGCTTACTAATGGCTCCATTGCTGAAAATGTCATGCTTCAGCTTATGTATTCCAGCTTTGAAACACGTCATTAACATGCAATTCTCCTTTTTTTCTGTATGGGCTAGTTTCTAGATTTGTGCCGAGCCACCACGAGAAATTTAAGTGCCCTTAGAGCACACAAAAGCGTCTGCATTTTAGCAAAGCAGTGAAGGACATGGAAACTTTCAGAAGGTGCCCGCCTCAGTTCTAATCTCAGAGTCGGTATTTTGGACGAAGTATGCCGCTTGAATTTGCTTAGCCGTTTTGACACCAAACAAGACACTTTGGAACTATCATGAACTGTAAGGTTTGGTCATGAGCGCTTGCTAAATGACTGGCTGCAATAGACAAAAAATGACAGTTGTCTTCCGCGGTCTTCATGGGTTGGGGCTGGGTACAATCGAAATTTAATGCTGCTGCAACTTTCACATTATTTATTGTCATTACTCTCTACTGTTTTCATACTGTTTTCTGTTGATGTTATCGTTGATTTCTTGCCGTTTTTATGTTATCGGCTGTCAAAACCTTCGATTCTTATCCACCATGGTGAATGACCATTAGAACACGTCATATTTGGCCATGTACGTCAGCCAGTCCCTAGTCGAGCCACACTTAGGTCGTTTTCCGATCCAATAGCGTCCCAAATGCTGTCTTAAACCACAGATCCATCATGGGGGGGTGAGCCTATTTAGTTCCACGTCTAATTACTTCGCACCTTCCTCGCCCATTCACTCACTCGCCTGTGGGGTGGCCTCGCTTATTTGGTTGGCTGCTTACCTCTCTGCCACACAGCCGTACTCAGGAGCAACATTATCGATTATATGATTAAGAAACTTTAAAACATGAAAAATAAAGCAAAACAAAAAATAAATATGCAACAGTTTAATACTGCAACACAGAAAGCTGTGGAGGCTAAAGTAATATTGGAAAAATCATAGCATTGGGAAAAGGGTTCATCGCATCGTGTGAGCATTCATTCTCACATGACGCCTACAGGCAAAGTAGTTAACAGAGTGACCTTTCAAGCTTTTTTAACACCCTCAATCGCTTTCTTTGGACACCGCCAGTAGGTCACTTGAAGGTATTCGAATATGTGGATGAAAGCATCACAAATCACCTCTGTAGTGTGCTTGTCATCGCATGAGCACGGTGTCTCACCTACACAACTCTGATTTCGACTACAGAGCTTTCTCGGCTTCAACTCAGGATTAGCTGCTACTGTGTTGCTCCTTCCTATTCATATCGATCCATAGGATCAATATCAGTTCACTCAGACTGCCAGAGAGGTCACAGCCAACTAATTAAGCGAGGTCACCCCACAGGCGAGTGAGTGGATGCGCGAGAAAGGTGCGAAGTAATTAGAAGTGTGGAACCGTGGAACTAAATGCCG